TGTTGGCAGGTACCGACGCAAAACGACAGCATCCTCCCTCAGCAGTTTGTGCTCATCTGCTTGCCTCATCTAAAAAGACAAAAACACGGGCTAGGAACATGCCAGGAACAGCCTTGACTGCAATGTGTGCTGCTCGAGGGGCGTTGCACATCGGTGTCCCAGCACCCGACCTCCTGGCCGAGATCACATCTAGAGCCATCCATCTGCCGGTCTGCCCGCTCCGCGCCTGGTCCAGAGCCATCTTAACCATCCCCTTGCGGCTGATCTCCATGACGCTGAGCCACGCCAGCAGCGCGGGCAGCGACCGGGAGATGTAGAAACTTGTGCCTGGTCCAATGGGCTCCAGACTAAGGAATTCTTTTTGCTTCGTCTGGCATCTCTGTATCACCTCTGCTTCACAAACGTTGCCCCAAAGATCTCACCCTGCTGTAAAACAGCGAGAGTAGAAAACCGCTCGATCGCGCCTGCCGTTACCACGGCAGTCATGACGTGCACGCAGAAGTGTATCGTAGGCAGGGACATCTGCATAAACGTCGTCATGGCTTGCAAGCCATGTCCAAGACCTCAGATGGAACACGGACATCGAAAAAGCCTGCTAGAATCAGTGCAAGAGAATCTGCCCAAATCTCCTGTTGCATCACCCAATGTCACAAATCATGGAACAGCATTGGGGCATCTTTTTCAGCGTCCCAAAGCGCAGCAGATCTCAAGTCGATACCACTGAAAAGACACTTCGAGCTTCAAACAGACCTGTACTCACTGAATCTGGGTCTCGTCCATGCGCTGTCGAGTGTCCGCAGGAGAGGATCAAGAAGGCAAACGCCAACAAGACCCTCTGAGCAAAGCAAAGCTCCTCACACCCAAGCCGATCGATCAGAGGATATCCTTGTAGGCATACATTCGTGTTGCAACAGCGAACCCAAGAGAAGATTGCAGTCGACTGTACTTCCATGAATTCGCCGACTTCTGTTCGGCGTGGTTGGAAGCTGCCCCTAATCCCCCCAGGCAGGGGGGCGACGCACGACGGGCGGGGGGGGAGGGGGGGGGGCGATGGCACGTACCGCGCGATTTTGTGACGTTCCCTCTTTTTTCACTCGCCGCTGGGCGGGGGTGGCGGGCTCGAATCTCCCCTAGTTCGCCTGGGCCGCAGCTGCGTGGGGGTCTTGGGCGGTGCTGTGTGGGCGTCTTGCGCGTTTCTTGGGTGAGGGCTGCAGCTTTTCTCTGGGGACCTCGCTTTCGTCGCTTTTGCGCGGGCTGTGCAGCCCTTCCCTGGCGCTTAGGTTTGGGCTGGCATGGTGTGCGACGTGTGCCTTTCTACGGATTGCTCTCTTAGGCGCGGGCGTGGTCGGTGAGGTGCGTCTTTTTGTCTGCGGGCTGTAGCTGTTCTCTGGGTTCTGTCTGGGTTTTCGCCGGGTTCTGCGCATTTCCGTCCGAGCTTCAGTGACTTTCAGCGTGGTGGCTGACGTCGCGGTGCCAGTGTGGTGGGTGCCGTTTGCATTTTGGCGTGCCGTTTTGGGCTTTTCTTGCGGTTGTGCTCTTGGGCGCGGGCGTGGCGGGCGAGGTGTTTCTGGGGTTCTACGTGCAAGCGGTGGCTTGGGTTCGGCCTTCCTTTGTCAGTTTTTAATGGGCTTTCTGGGGGTGCTCTGGTGCTCTGTCGTTGGTGTGGGGTTTAACCTCCAAGCTTGCGTTCGTGTTGGTTGTGGGCTCCAAGCTTTCGGGTTGGTTCTGGAGGCTTGGATGTTCACGAGAAGCATGGCCCGTTGACACTGGCTTTGAGCTTCTCTTGGAGGTGCTGGACAAAGAAAATCTCCCAAACACACACGCACATATTTATGTATACATAAACATTCAACCCCCCCTCATGGACCCTGGTTTTTGCGCCTTTGGGGATGATAAATCTGGAGTCTAGAGATGTTAATCCACGGAATTTCCGATTTTGGGCCCCCAACGCCTCATAATTTGGAGCCCGGAGTCCTCTGAACTGTCCCAATTGAAATCCCTTCCAAATATGATTATAATTCAAAGATAATTGGAATTGTGAAGATAAGTTAGCAAGGATATAGGTTTCCAAATTTGGTTTATGTTCATTTAGAATTTAAATAAACAAATCCTGTCCAAATAGGAGCTAAACTATGATGAACACAAATTGTCAAATGAAACTCAACTAATCTTTGATAATGCATTTTAAATGGGATTGTTGGTCCCGAAATATAGTTCAAGTTCAAAATTTAATCTAGTACGAACATAATTCATTTTGGTGATAATAATAATTATAATGATTATATAGACTCACTTCTCAAATATAATTCACATTAAACATGGCTAAACATGTAAGGGACGTCTACAAGGAAATTCGAAATAGGATTTGTGTAATTTGCACTATCTCTTTTGTAGTATAAGAAAGGTTCGAAATTGAACTTATTAGATGATCTTCCAAAATCGAATTTCAGAGGAGTAGAGGTTCAAACTCTAAAACTATCTCCAAACAGGGATTCTAGGTAAATCAGTTGTGATTAAAGTTTTAGTTGGTCAGGAAAACATAATTCATTCTACTCAAAAGGCGGAGGTAGTAGATGAGTAAATGTGGACAGGTAGTTCGGGGGGGGGGGGGGGGGCGGGTGATTGTGTGTGAACATGCATGTATATATATATATATATTTATGTATATGCAAATACATACACACACACATATCGTACCCCTCACGATCCTGCGTGGCTTCCTTAAAACAACTGTGAAATACAGCTTTTTTGAGCATTACACCTACCTTCGTTTACCTCCTTGCAAAAGGGTCAACATAAGCATAGCTTACATGAAGCAAAAAGCTCAACAATAGCACTTGAAAGTGTGTCTAAGGTTGTTTCACTGGGTCGCTAAGCAGTTGAACGTATTTTATCACCGGATTGAAGATTCAAGGTTGAAGATTACGCAGAACACTTTCCTGAGAATTGTTAAACCTGGCCAAACCCAACCAACATTCACGTTCTTCTAAACGCTTGAAAGTGCAATACCACTGGATTGAAGATTCAAGATTGAAGCTTGCACAGAAAACTTTCCTGAACATCGCTATCCCTGGCCAACCCAAACAAACTTTCAAGTTGCTCTAAAACCTCAAACGTATTTTGCCACTGGATTGAAGATTCAGAATTGACATCATTTACGGAAGGCTGTTTCCGATAATTTTGTCCTCGCTCTTTGAATCCAGACATCGGGGGATTTGAAGGGTTGCAGATTAATTGCATGTGACTTCAGACGGGTGCGCATACTTGTTTGCAGAAGTATGTATTGGAAACCTGGAGTATTGAATAACTCTATTTTCTTTTTTGCAAAGTTTGAAAAACATCTGGGATTCAAGATTCAAGATTCTCAAAAATGATGTTCTCAATTTCGTGAATCTTGAATCCCACATTTTTTGGCAAAACAAGACCCAGTGTTGTCCCAATACTCTTATATGCATGCAGACTCTGACAAATGGCAGATGCTGATATCAGTGCTTCCATTACATATGTATGTATTTGTCGTGTAGTTATACATATGCCCCCCCCCCTCCCCCCCCCAATTTGCCACAAAATCAACAAAGCCAAAAAAGGGAAAGACACAGCTCAAAACTCACCAAACAAGGGTCCCATGGGAGGGTACCATATATGCATATATATATATATATCTATCTATATATATATATATACAAACGCGTCTTTGATGTAGTCCCATGTTCTTTGCATTGCTCGGGCAAAGAACAAAACAATTCATTTCCATCAACCAACGTGAGCTTCCGAATGGCTCCCGTGCGGGCGTCCTCCTTCGTCATTTGTGAGGCGATCTTTCTGAAGTCCGCGGCCTGCAAGTGTCAAATCCTACTCTGAGTACTAGGAAAGCAGCAAACCCCTTGGGGCAAACTCGGCAGGTTCGGTCTAATTCGATCCGGACATGGGCTAAGCTGCCAAAAGGCGCTTGCTTGCAGCCTCCGGCCCTTCATATGGCCTTTGTCCAACAATCGCCGGCTCTATGGCGTTTGCCTTGCCTGGACACGCTGTGATGCGAAATGAAGGATCTGCAGGGGGATCACGATATAAGCCTTGGCCGGTGTTCTTACCCCTCAAACTCATGCGCAACGTAGGTCAGCAAAGCTCCTTGCACGCCTTGCTACAAGGCGACCCATACATCTTCAATGACACATACAAAAGCTAGACGGGTTTATGGAACTGTGGGGTTGATTGCAGCTGAACGCATACATTTCTGACGGTGCCGGCCTTGTCTTCACGGGAATCCGGTCGAGCAAGTCCAAGGGTTTTTGAAGCAGACATCCGGCCACCTTGCGCCAAGGCGCCAAAGAGATGCTCGCATCCAGGAGGCCGGAGACAAATGCCTGGCGGGCTTAACGAAAGCGGGCGATGCCCTGCTTTCCATTCAATCCCAGGCTTCCCCGGGCTCCCTGCCTCCGAGGGCAGGTTAGCACTGAGAGCCATTGAACGTGTGGCCGTGGAACTCAGCACCCCCTCCTTGCCCTCTGAGCCGGCGCGGGTGGAGGTTGCGGCAAGCAGGGCGCAGCTTTCAAAGTTGTCGACTGCTTTGAAGTGTTGCTAACCAGCCAAAGTCAAGGTAAAAGTAGAACCTCTTTCGAGGGAATCTATCTAACACAACCTCCTGTTCTCTTGAATTCACACACGCGAAGCGGAGTGGCAATTGCTGATCCATATACATCCAATGATTGCTGCCCATGAGCAAGCAGCCCGAAGCAATCTGCGAAGCTGGTAACATGAAGCAAAACACTGGACAAATATTGCTGAGCAAGGCATGCTTCCAGCTCTGCTCAGCCGGATTGCTCTCGTAACGGCAATGCACGAAGTGATTTGTGCAAGAGGGCTCTGCACTCTACGCAACCCTGGCTAACAAAAAGTAACACCAGGCCCCCTATCTGCCATCCGGGCATTGCATGATATTTTCTGGAGGCTGACCTGGAAAAGCTACTAAGCCCACATGAACATACTGCGCCCGACCCAACCTCGTTGGCAGAGGCACCTGACCCAGGCTGTCTGAAGGCAGTCATCACATCCAAATCAGCAAATGCTTGTAAACTTCTTCGGCCCTTTGACCTGCAACAACAAGGGCGTGAGCACGGTTTGTGATGACAAGGTGATTCAAACGCAATGCTGGAGGATGGAATGAAAAGAAAAACAGCAAAAAAGAGACAATCACTGCTTTAGACCCCCTGCACTTACATTAGTTGAACAAACGTCAAGCCTTTGCACAGCAAAGGGCAGTCCTATCCAAGACAAGCTGTGACTCAGGCTCAACTTGGCTGTCAGGCGAGCCAAACACCAAATCAACCGCGCAATCCTGTCGATCAACACAAGGTCCTCCTTGAAAGATCGTTGCCACTACGATTGATTGCAAACAGAAACAAGATCGGCTCGGATACCAAGCTACGATGCCACCTGGCTGGGCTCCTGTCGAAAGGCTTGGCGAGGCGAAACCAGGGCTCCTGCGGCAAGCAAGCTGAACATTTGGTTGAGTGTTCGAGAAGTGGCATGAGCCCAAGCTGCGATGTCAGGAGGGCAAGAACATGGAGCACAACAGAATCTGATTCGAATGAAGCAGCTTTGCCTCAAAACATAGGGCGTTTCTGAATAATTGTAAAGAAAGCAAGGGGCGAAAAGGCGAAGAACTGTGTGAAAGGAATGCGTGTGGAGTGCCCGGGATACTTGATCATTCCTTGCGAAAGGCCTCGGAAAGGCCAGCGTGGCCCCCTCCACACATTTCCCTTGCAAGCGAAGCCCAATTTTTTCCCATGCTTTTGAACATCTATGCCATTCTCACAAGGGACATGGTGAGTCCCGAGTCCTGCGCAGGGTGCCAGCCTCGGAATTGAGCAAGTGGAACGCTCGTGTACGGAAAACAAACCCTCATGTACGCACATACAGTCCAAGCATGTGTGTTGCAAGCCCATTCTATGAGGAAAGCAAACAACATATATATATATACACACATATATATGTATATATATATATATATATATTCACACACACACTCTTGCGAGTGCCTGTGCACTCTTTTGCCACTTCCTACTTCCTATGAAGGGGAACAAGATAGCTTTGAAGAATGCGAATAGGTACATGATTGAAATCTGGCCAGCTGACAGAAGGAGGGCGGGCTTCTTGTCGCTTGGGCAGACCAGGGATTCCACCCTGTTATGTTGGCGTGATGGGGTGGGGCCAAACACAAAACATAGTTTGCCCGGATGCTCGCTTAACGCGTTGCCATTTTAGAAGCCGATCATGCCAGATTTGGGGGCAACCAGGCCAAGGGTTGCACTGTCCGATGGGGTTGATGGGAAGCTTACGCAACTCTTTAGGGGGACCCCTTTGACACTCTTCAACCAGGCTTCCCAGGCATTCGGGTCTTAGCTGCTGCTTCAGCCAATTCCTGACGGGCAGAGTCCGGCAGGTTACGCAGCTTGAAAGCCTGAACAGGAATCACCAACAGCAAATCCAGGCCGTGCTGCTGCGGCGACCAATGGTAGGAGCAAAGCATGACCTAACTTCACCGGGATTGCCTTTCATGGTCAAACAAACTGCAAGCAACGCGGAAGCCATGCGAGCTGCGTCTTGAACGGCTCTCCTTCAAACATCACCTTTCCTAACGAAAAGTCAAAACGCTCTTTGCCACCGGTGATGTCCGAATTCACACAAAACCAACTTTTCACTGAAGGGCCCAACCTGAGTCTCGCGGTCGCTCCAAAAGACCTCATGCACCTCATTCACACCATTCCGCTCTTGAGGCTTTCCAGCGGAGGGCTCTTGGGGGCGAATCCTCTCCGCAGTTGAAGCTCACTTAAAAGCCACGTAGGCTCTTCATCAGCAGTTTGTCCCAATGACTTTCTAGGAATGCAGCAAGGCGCATCTGCAGATATGACAAAATGCTCGCAAACAGAGCATCAGGCAAATCTCCTATCCAAACACCCCGGTCCTTGGGCTCCTGCCACTTGGGCCCAAGGATTCAAGGGTGAAGCAAAAAACCACTCGCGCCGGAGACCCCCGTCCAGGCCTGTGCGCGCCTCAGGTGCTCCGACGGAGCCGGGACTGCACCTGCCGTGCGCACCCGGGACTTACGCCGTTTGGCACTCTCTTTCGGGAGGAAAACAAAGGTCAACCAATCAATCGCGGGGATCCCCAAATTTTTGACACCCAAAAGGAAAGAGCGAACGCAGGTGTGGAGATACCCATGGGTGAATTCAAGCATGCAGCCACTGAGTTCGCGACGTCCTTGCTACATGATCATGTGCTACCCAAATTGGACTTGATGTGATCTCGGAATGAATCAACTCCTTCACGGGATGGTCCCAAGTCTGAGTGGCACCGGTTGCACCGGCTTTCAACAACCCCGCTTCATCACATCTGGGGAAACTCTCCAATGAACGTCAAGTAAAAATAGCATCCATTTGGATGAGTCGATTCCTGGCTATGCCACGCCGACATGTATCGCCAACTGCCGTGCTAAGTATTCTATTTGTTGAGTTGTCCTTTCCAGCTTGAGACTCAGCGCCCTAGACATTCAAACCCCGTATTGGAAATGGAGGCGTGTTGCTCACAAGAATATTCACTCTTCACCTCCCTGGGCTCCTGCCTGCTGCTCTGGCGGCTGAGGATAAGCTTTCAAGATGCCCTGCCGAGCAGGTGCTTAGCTCTGTTCCGCTCAAATGTACTACCAGTATCTCTTGGAATGGCTTCCACTTTGGAAAGTGAGGCAACAATGTTTGGGGGCTGTGGAAGGCATAGTTGCGACACATCCAAATGACACAATCACCGCACAAATCAGCCAGTCAAGTGGAACCCGAGGTCTTGAATCTTCCAGACGACGGTTTCCACTTAGCCGCTGAAACTCCAAGAGACGTGCAAGCAACCGCCGGCAAACACGGGGGCTGCTGTCAAACATGTTCTGTGCCGCATTTCGATTGGGTCCGAAGCCAAAGAGGGTGATGGAGAGCCCCATAGCATCTTCAAGTCCAGTTTGCCAAAGTGGTCCGAACAAATCCGTCGGTTTGCCAACCCACCACCTGCATCAATGAGGCGAAACCGCGGCCTAGCCGTGGGCTCAGCTCTGGTGGCGACCTTTCCCCGCGGCCTCGTCCAAGACTTGGAGTGTGCCCGGTGAAACACGTCGCCAATGCTCCATTTGGAGCTTCTCGTGGGCTCAATGGAAGGAACTCTTGCTGAAATGCCTCGGTTCCGCGCCTGACTGGCGTGGATCTGGCCTGGGCAAGGCTCGCTGGTGCACTCGGCGCCCGGTTCTGACGGATGGCTTTTGTTCCGGCTCGTGCCAAGCTTCGAGTGCCAACATTTAAGTGGTTTCGGAAATTGGCAATGAAGGTCTTGCCCGAACCTCTTTAATCCGAGCAAATTCATGAGAGCTATTGCCGCCATGGTGGAATGGCAGCAAACTGGTGTGCCAGCTTTATTGTCTTCCATAATGACTTTTTTTCAAACTATCTTTCGGACGTACAGATGGAGTCGCGAGTGGCAACATTCAGCGAACCAGTTGTCCCGCTGAGCACTCCCGAACAAAAGCGTTCCGGAGTCGTCTTTTTGGTGACTCGAGCAACCTTGCAACGCTCCTACCAATCTCCAAAAATTCATAGAATGTTGCACCAGCAAACCGGATGGTCGCTGTCCCACCATATCCGCTTGCCACGCCTGTGCAGGCTATCCACTGAGCTGAAGACCTTCAGAGGCGGATGGAGATTGGGACGCCCTAACAGTTGTATCAGTTTTGTGTGACGTGCGAGCTGGGGCAAACGGTCTGCTCGACGTGAAGCCTGTCTGGCCTTCCATGCGACCCCGAGCAACTCCAGTCTCCACGGTTTGGATGCCAGGCTCAAAATGGGAAACTCTTCTTTGGATGATTCAGGGAAAGCAAACAAAAGCCAACCATTTGAGGGGTCCCTGATATTTGACACTGATTTGGACGGAGCGGAGGTCCGCCAAATGCCGTCCCTGCCTGCTCCGCAGGTCGCGCGTTTGCGCCGTTGCAGTGCTGAGACTCACCTGAGCGTGCACAATGAAGTTTGGGTTCTATCAACCAGCACGGTACTAAAAATGCTGAAGGGCCTTGCACCAACCGACCCAACGTGGCCAACTCGAAGCAGGTTTCAGGCGCTCACGGAGCTTGAGACACTCGGCCAGATTTCGTTGACCCCAGGGTTGGGCGAACTCCTTCAGGTTTCAAGCGGCTCAATGCTAAATGACCTTTGGCTTCCCTGGGCTGGTGGTCAAATGCCCCGCCTGGGCCTTGCAAAGCTTGCAGCTCCAGCTCTTCCAGCTCCCGGATGCGAGCCTGGGCATTGATTCAGCCTCCCGACCCCCTTGGTCAACCTGAACCCACTGAGAACCTGTAAACAGGTTTGTTTCGCCTGGCCTTCCCTTGAAACAACCCAACGAGATGTCCATTGATATTTTCATGACGGGGAAACTGATTTTAACCGGCCCAAATGGTTTGACCGCCCAGGGGGGCCTGCACTCCCCGCCCCCTTTGGAGAAACAAAGGCCCGAAGAAGTTCAACACAGGGGGACCTGGTCGAATAGAAATGGCATGGCCCATGAAAGAAGAACACACCACGTAGTCAGAAAAAACACAAAATTTCTAAGGACCTGAAAGCACTGGAAGTTAGTGTGGATTGGTTTGTTCTGTCCGGTTGCACAGGACATGTTCCAGCGCATTTTAACTAATTTGTCCCTAGCCTACATCAGTTGCTCCTTGCTTCTTGCTCGGCAGAACAAGAACGCAACGTGGCATCCGTGGTTCGGTTCCACCAACCGCTGCAAAACAGATTCTCGGCACACCCTGGGCCTCAGTTTTGTTCTTATGAGTCAGAACTACAAAACAAGCATTGTGCACCTTTAAGAGATACATTCAGGTTTCCTCACTCGTCGCTTTCCAGTCCCCTCAATTGGAAGCCCAGAAGCTTTGAGCGGAAAGGGAAGAAACAGCACACTGGAGGTCTGGGGAGTCAGTAAGGAGGCAAAACAATGAAGCAACAAAACAACAAAATCGCGTATGGCAGAAACGAAAAAACCCAACCGCGCAAAAGAACAACAAGCAGCGAGGCATGCAGAAAACAAAGCTCAACAAAACACAGCGAGCGCCTCCTGGCGCGAGCATGTGGTCTCCAGCTCAGCGATGCGTTCTGCCTGGCGAATGATCGCACAAGTCGCCTCAGGACTTGGCAATGGTGACGGAAAATATCCAAGTGGCTCACTTCAGAAGGGATCCTTTTTGGAGAAAACATCCCCCCAGCTAATCCGCTAGGTTGATTCATGAGGGGTAGACACATCGTGGCTGATTCTGGAATGCTGCGTTTCTGCCGAGGATGAAATGAGAGAAGTAGATTCTCAGGGTGGTCAATGAGCAAAAGAGGAAGAGTTGAAATGGCTGGATGCTCCTGCGGCAAAACCTTGTAACTCCTTTTGCTCAGCTGCCCTGCTCCAGTCATAGTGTCACTCAGCAGTTCCTTGCCGTGCATCAAATTGATGTCTCAATGACCATCTTCAAGCTCCAGATTGACTATGCGCAGCACTCTCGAACGAACCCATGACATGTGCAACTCACAGTGAAAACGTCAACAAGCAGGGGTACTTCGGATAGCCCTTTGAGGTCGTCCGACCTCGGAAACCTTCTCGCTAGCTCATGAGCCTTAGGCAAATGAGAAGCCTTGTGAGTCAAACTGGACCATACGCACCCGCACCTGCCTGTGCTTCGCACAAAGCCTGGGCGTTGGATGTCCAGGTGAGCGTCGAAAATGAGAATGGGCTCAAATGAGAGCTTTGCAAAATCAGGGCAGCCCAATTCATTGCTGGTACTGAAAAGTTGCCTTTAAAAGTCGCGGCAAAGAGATCGGAACTTCCCCAAAATCCGTGACACTCCCTATGGCTGTTTCCAACATCCAGACCTGCAAAATGAGGGAGGCCTTCGACCCGCAAAACGGCGACGGGTGACCCAAGGAAACGACCCATGGCCAAGATCGCTCCCAAAACAGCCAAGCCCGCCTTAAGCTCCAGTAGCTCCTGGCGAAGGGCCCCAGGGTTTCCTTCTTACGGAAGGAGTGCCGGAGTGCCCGGATCTTAGGAGCAAGAGGCATTCCTTTACCTTTTTGAAGGGTGGGTGCTTCCGGTCCCAGTAGCTGTGCTTTGCAACGGTGGCTGTGGTGCGGTTGACTCTCACCCTCTCATCCGCATGGAAGTGCACAAACTCTGTCGAAAGCTGCTTTTTATTTACCGTTTGCTCATCGCTGCAGTGCACTTTCACTTTTTCTGTGGCAGGGTCACATCTTGCAAGGACACCTAAGCCACAATCAAAACTGCCTTGGGGAGATGAAGGTTTGTGGTGGACAGGCACCCTCCATAGATAGGTGCCGACTCTGCTTTGAGCATTCACCATTCTTGGGTAGACTCCTGAATGCTAGGTTTTCCTCTGACTCACCGGCTTGTGCTCAGGCACCACTTCTGCCATTGCAGTCACCAAGAGATAGGTTCAGAGGGATACTGGCTTTACCCGAGCAAAGATTGCTCAGAGAAGTTTCCCAGCATACCGATCCAGGAACACGCTACTTGGCCTGAGTCTTGGGAATGCCACGCGCTTCGGTCATCCAGAATTTGTGGGGAGAATCCCAGTCTTACTCATCGCCCATGAATATGAACAATGTGCTGTGCAGCAATTCGCTCAACCGCCAAAGTCTTCTTTGAATCATGGCCAAATGAGTGGGGGATGGTGACTCGAAGATCCCACACATGCGGGATCGTGTCAAACACAGGATGCCACTGCCTAATGCTTTAGAAGGGACTGCAGGCCCGCTGGTTCCAAACGAAGTATTGGCACTAGAAGACCAGTTCCGACATCAACCATTGGGTTCTCGGGAAATCTTTGCCCTGCTGCGGAGAATCAGGCAAGCAAGGATCTTTTGGGCACCGCAGTCAGCCAGGTGGAGTCCCTTAGAACACACAGGAATGAAACCTCCAACCATTCTCAAACAAACCATTCCAATTCCCAAGCCTTGCCACCTTCAAACACGAAAGCCGACAGCACGCCGTCAAACAAGTCTTCTTCTGATATGGCGCCCACTTCCATGATTCGTTGCAGAAGGGTGAGATAGTAAGAACAATCAACAACATATGCCTCAAGCGAACCTGTCTCGTGTTCAATGAATGAGCCTTACCTATCTTCTGTGGAGCAAAACTCTAAGGTTCTGTGACACACATTTCCAGCAACCACAGCTTTGCAGGTTTGAACCCGCCTGCTTCACCCGAGATGAGTTTAGTGCAGCTGTTCAGCGTTCGACATCTTCTTCCCGGGCCTGGTTGGCCTGCTCGGCCTGGTCGGCCTCGCCCACGGGCCTGGATCCAATGCATTGGGTCAGTCGATTTGAGATAAGTTCTGGTGACCCTAAAATGGGTTCCAACAAATAGGTTGGTTCTAGGATGCTACACGCATGATTCTTGGGTCCAGCTGCAACGCACTTGTCAAAAGCCAAGTGGACCACTTCTTGCTTCCGGATACTCACCATTGTCTAACAGTTGAAAGGTCGCCGAAGAGAAGCCGAGGCTTAGTCACTCCGAGAAGGTAGGAGTGCGGAATGCGATACATGAAACCCTCATCAGCCACATTTGACGGACGTTCCGGCCTTGGCTCAGGCATCAGCTGGCAGCCCTGAAGGCTTCATGGTTGTGAGACGAATGGAAAATCGATTGCCGCAATCCGTGAAATGCACATCTACCCAATGGCTACGGAAATCCACTTGGTCACTGGTGGAGATACACTTGGCTGAAAGAACACCCTAAAGGCAGGCTTGTGATCTGTGTTCACTTGTGCGCACACACCATGATCGCAGGCTCCTATCCGACCATCCTGGGTCGAGTCGCGCTTGCCGTCCTTGACTTTGCATCCGTCTGGGTGTCTTATGCGACTCTCGAGCCATGACCAATGGAAGGCCGACATCCTTACTCTGTAGTGCCAAGAGCTATCTGCCGACTCGGAGTATATCTCTGCCTCATCTTCCTACTGTGGGCTCATAAGGGTATGACACGTTTTTAGGGACTCTTTGGCGGACATCATTCGCATGTGGTTTGATGTCCGCCAACTTTCCTTGAGGGTCCCCTGCAGAAATTCACAGCCATGCGTCAGCGGTCACTGCCACTTTGTTGGATATGAGAGCGTCAACAGTTCTTTTCTGAGTTGATGGACCAGGCGGTCCTTTGCCAGTTGGGGTGAGTGGATCTGATTTCGGCATGAGCGCAAGCAGAACTCCTCTTTTGATCCTCAGATGTGTGAGCATTGAGCGCGATCCGCGGATGCTTTGCCGCAGAAAAGAGGCCCCAGTGGCCATGTCCAAAAAGAATCCAAACCATGGCTTGATCTGAATTTGCCTTCCCCTAAGCCTCCAAAATCTCTGGAACCTGCGGACATGCGAAGCTATGGCCTCTTGGGAACCTTCTCAAGAAACTTTGAGAAGGACTTGGCTGAGCAACGGGGTGCCCTTACACAACCATGCTACGGGTATGGCTCATTTTATTGAGGGTGCCCTTTGAACATGGCATTCAAAGCACACCAAAAGGAAATCAACCTTCACAGGGGTCTTATTCTAAGACATACCCACATGGTGTTTGGGCTCAAGGGACGATGAGGATGTCCGCATACTTCTGGCAAACGGAGTGAACATCCCAGCGGTAACCTGGAGATGATGCAGGTGAAGTGAAGGAGAGCGAATCGAAATGCTCCAACACATGCGCTTTCCAGTTCCTAATCATGTAGTCTATGCAGCTCGTATCGGACTTGTTCCCACCCCTGGAAAGCAGGCGTGATCAAAGCCTGAGGGTAGATTCCACATCTGTCTTCTCGAGGCTGGAACCATCAACCCATAGTTTCTGGGGTAAACTCAGCATGAAGCATGGCTCAACCATCGGAAGCGGATCCTCTTGAAATCGTGCTCCAAAGCGTCCCGTTTGGTCGAAGTGATCCCTGCGAATGTGCGAAACTCCAATACCAAGCCCAAAATTGGAACTGTCGGAGCCCAACTCTAGTGCGCCGGTACAAGAAAGCAAGCCCAAATCGGAAACTGCCCAATGCGAGTCGCATTTGGCTTCCTGATGTCAACCAATTCTGGCCAACGATTTTTACTTGGGACAACCTGAACAGGTTTCGTCTTTCATCCTACAAAGTCGCACTACGCGCAAATGCCTGGCAGTACTTGTTGTAGTGAGGCCATGTAGAGTACCGTCCAGAACCTTGGCTCTGCTTTCCTGTGCATTCCGCTCCCGCGGTGAGTTTGATCTTCTTGCCTGGTAGACTTGGTGTTGCAACAGGGTTTGGAGCGACGCATCTATCGTGACCAACTGGTGACCGCCTGTGTGAATTGCCAGCTTCTAGCAATGGCTGTACACCGCCTCTTGCCAGTTTGCTCACTGGCTATGCATGTCATGATACTCGACAACGCTTGGCTGCAAACAGAAATCCAGAAAGCAAACAACACCCCTATGAAGGACCTGCTTTTAGAAGGGGACTTTTTTAATTCAACTATTAAACAGTTCATCCAATCAGTGCCAGCGTACTTTGGCCAAAAGCACTGTTTGCCGAGTCAAGTCCTAACGCCAAACGTGGCATAGAATTATGTTGACTTGCCTCCACCGTCATCCACGAGCCAAAGGTCAGAGCTGTTGTGGACTCTGTGGCGTTAAACACACCCTGCCAGAGTTTGCCTTTTCAAACCCTTTGGTCATGTAGAACTGACAGGGCTCCTTATATTTCTCCTTAAAACATCACCCCCACCAAGGAACGCTCACCTTTCATGGGCCAAAAAGGTGATGTAAAAGGGAAGTACAGGGACCCCTGTGCAAACCCCCTTTGCGGGACTGGCATTGTTGCTCCCCGCCCTGTGAGCTGCGCGGCAGGGAGAGGAGGCCCCAGGTGGCGACGGCCGTGATGTCCGCCGCAGACACCCCGCTCATCTCCCCTGCACCCGCCCTCCCCACCCCCGGGCCAATAGATACCCGCAAAAATGGGGGTCAACCGGCGAACTGCAATAAAAAGGGCACCCTTATTTTTCTGCTTACTTTGAAGGACATCCTCCCCGCGAACAAAGAAGTAAGCAAACAACTCGAGGGTTGGAGCCACAGGCAAGTGATGTTAGTGTTTTGCTGACTTGGACACATGAAACCCACCTCAAAGCTCGAGGATCTGCTTTTCGTCCGCTGGCCTGGCTGCACAAAGGTGGACTCCGTGCTCAGCATGCTCCGCTCAGAGGCGAAGGTTCGGTAGAGCAGCTCCGGCAAAAGCACCTTCGCTTGAGCGAACCCGCCCAAGGGCCCCAGGTGGCGCAAGGGACGGGGACAACCCAATCGAATAGGGATAATTATAGGGGCATGTCACCCTTGATGCGTTCCAAAAAGAGTGGTCAAGCTGACAACCGCTTGAAGTGGCTACAAAAGAACAGCAAATAATTCCCAGTTCACTTCTGTCCCTCCAAACCTGAGGCAAAAGCTGCAGCAGTTTGATGGCAGCTGCTGTTGTGAGCTTGTTCCTCTTGAATAGTTGCCTTTTGGTTTGCCAGCTTCGCTTATGCTCAGAAAAAGATGGTGGTGCCGCGTTTTGCGCGGATCATGCTTGTTGTGGACCTGAGCCACGCCCGACAAACACAGTTTTTTGATTGTCCCATCGGAACACATATCGACGTCTTGCTGGTTGCTGCTCTTGTCAGGCACATTTTTGCATTGGTTCTCACAAGCACTCAAAGAGGCCAGTTGTGCTGGTTGAGGGGCTCGGGATACCTCAAGGAAAAGGTCATCTGCCAGAAAAGAGCCCGGCCCACAACCAACGAGGCATGGAACTCCGCATGTTGGGTCGGGACCACCCCTATCAACACGCAACCATTGGAGAGGTTGGGAAGTTGTTTCTTATTGGCTCAGGCCGATGTGCCAGGCCACGATGAACTCCAAGGCCAGCGAGTCCAGAAAAAGCGCCGACAGGTCCCTCAGGTGTTCGGCCCGTGAAAGGTGGAACCCTTGAAGCCGCGGGAAGGAATCTTCTGTCCAGGCCCTTGATTCAACCATGCAGCAATGTGTGCGAGAATGGAAACAACAAGCGCAGGAATACGATTTCTTTCCTTCTTTGCAAGATGCCGGTACCAGTTTCCTGGCCATCTAATCCAGCCATTGATTCCTTGGCTTTGAATTTCTGCAGCAATTGGAAAAACAAACACTGGGCCCTCTGGGGCTTTACCGTCTGGCAAAACTACTGCAATGACTGTGGTTTCTGCGCCCATCTTGATGCTTCGGGCTCGCTAGATAAACCCCAAACCAGGCAGGCACACTAAAAGGGACACCTCTGTAGCCACTCCGACTGGCGGTTAACCCTGGTCCCCCCAATGCAGCAGCGCAGCGTGGAGGACACGATCCAGCGGCAGCCCAAGTAGTTCAGCAGCATCGCCGCCAAGACCCGCGGCAGAAAACAGCCCAGCAGCAGCCCGGCCTTCATGACCCGCGTCAAGCCCACCTGCCATTGACAGATCTGGTCGCAGAAGGCCGCTCCAGTTGCTTGCTTGTAAATTTGCGGATTAAGGCCCTGCTTTGCTCAAGCGGCCAAACACTTTGTTTTTAGCCGAGGGTTTGTGGCCTGCAAAGCCCAGCTGTCTTTGAGTTGGTGGCGGTGGCCTCTCTCTACGAGGCAACCAAAGTTTGCATCCCAGTCGCGATGGTGCGGCTCTTCTCCCCGTGCGTCATGCACTGCGACACCTCCTGGACACACATTGCAATGTGCCGAAGGGAATGCCCCCGGAAAATGTGGCAAGCCGATGAAGTTGACGGAGTTGAGCCACATGCCTAGAGTTAGCACCTCCCACAAACAAACTTTGAGTTTGAAACCGACGTCTCCTTTTTTAAAGGGACCTTCTGGTGGGCTCTGCGGAACTAGGGCTGGCAGCCTAAGCGCCAGGGTCTGGGCGCGTTCCCAGCCCAACCCTGGCTCCCCCCTTCTCCCTCCTCAGCCTTGGGCACGCTCCAAAGCAGCGTCAAGGCCAGGTTGGTGGCAGAGCGAATCTCCGCCACACAGGTCAAGGTCCAAATAAGGATGATGGCCTCTGGGAAAAGCGAAGCCAACCCAAACAATTTGTCGAGCTAGAAGTTTTGGTCGTTTATCCTTGCAGCAAGCTTGTAAACTCATGCAATCAATGGCATACCTGAAACGCTTCGTGCAGGCTCAGAAATTTGGCCACCTATGGATTTAGAAGAATATGAGCAACCCAGGTGTAGCCTTTCTCACCCTCCAGGAGAACAAAGCAAACGCCGGTCTAAAAAATACAGCCCTTGGGGAAACGAAAAAGTGTCCTATTCCACACAAGTTGCGTTTTCTTTCACGGTAGTAGCAGGAGCATCAGCAGCAGTAAGAACCAAAGCAAGATCAAGAACAACAGCACAACGATTTCATCAGCAACAAAAGCAGCAACAGCAACAAACACAGAACCAGGTACAGAAAAGCAACACCAACAACAACTACACCACAAACAAGACATGAAGAAGAAGAATAAGAAGAAGAAGAAGAACAAAAAGAAGAAGACGAAGAAAAAAGAAGAAGACGAAGAAAAAGAATAAGACGAAGAAAAAGAAGAAGACGAAGAAAAATAATAAGACGAAGAAAAAGAAAGAAAGAACAGGAACCACAGGAAGAAGAGGAAGAGAAAAAAAAAAGAAGAAGAAGAAGAAGAAGAAGAAGAAGAAGAAGAAGAAGAAGAAGAAGAAGACACACAACAGCTGCAAAATCCAGCTTCGCTGTCACTATTACAGCCACCACCACCACCACCGCCAAAGCAACAGCAACACCAACAACCACAACACCAACAACACCAC